GGGGGGGTGTGCAAGCCTGTGTCATTATCTTAAAAAACAGAGGAAACATGACAAGTCCAACCAGATGGCAGTACAACTCACCAGGGAGTTCATTAGTTACACCTGTGAAATCCATTGTTTTTAAGGAACAAAGGTAGTTATGATCAATTATCTTGATTGACACACATTATTTAATAATAACGTAAGTGAATTTTTAATACAGGAGGGGTTCTCAAAATGTTTCAATCAAGTGCCACATCAATAAAAATATTTACCTCTCCTTTTACCATCATAAAATCCAACGTTAAAATACCATAATCTAATAGGCCGAAGTGTTTATCAAAAATGACGCAGAGGTTTTATTATTAAATGCTGTAGTTGTAATTGAAAGCCGTTGTTGTGAGGCGGACGTGCTAACGCTAACCAGTCAACCACCGTGCTGCCCAGACGAATAGTAAGTCAATCATAATGCTACAAATCAATGTCAATGAGAACGCTTTGGAAAGTGACATGTCAGTCGCAATGTAAGTGCCACTGTCAGGAACCTTCACATATGGCTCCGTACTAGCTCTTGCTGGCTGGTGTGCCCCAAGAGACTCTGGAGAAATTGGTCTGCATCAATGAAACAGCTGTCACAATACATTGCAATGACAAGTTGCAATTCCAAGAGCGCCCCAATACGGCCCCAACCAGCCGGCTTGTCGGAATTACACTGACAGTACGTACAACCAAATGAACTCACCAATCAGAGCATTCAAAAGAAACAAGCGGATGAAGAAAAGAAAAAAAATAGCGAAAAAACTGTCAATATGTACCTGCTGCATGAGTAAAGTAGCGAGCCACCAAACATCAAGACAGCTAAGCTTACTGCAGATTATTAGTTTTTACTTGAACCGCAGACCCGGTAATATACAAATTGAGACAAAACAATATACAGTAATCCCTAGCCACTTTATGTTTTGCAGCTTCGGTGCTTCACCGGAGTACCCGGAGAAAACCCACGCAGACACGGGGAGAACATGTAAACTCCATACAGCAAGGCAGGAGCTGGAATCAAACTCTGCACCTCTGCACTGTGAGGCTGACGTGCTAACCACCCTCTGGAATAAAATCCATCCATCCATCCATTTTCTAATCAACCTATCCTCACAAGGGTCGCGGGCGTGCTGGAGCCTAGACCAGCTGTCTTCGTGCAGTAGGCAAGGTAATCACACCTAGGGACGATTTAGAGTGTTCCATTAACCTGCCATGCATGTTTTTGGAATGCGCGAGGAAACCGGGGTACCCGGAGAAAACCCACGCAGGCACGGGGAGAACATGTAAACTCCACACAGGAAGGCCAGAGCCGGAATCTAACCCTACACCTCTGCGCTGTGAGGCAGATGTGCTGGAGTAAAATGTTTTTCCCAATGTCAGAAAGCTTGGTCGCAGTCGCAGATCATGGGTTCTCCAACAAGTTAAATAAACCATTACACACAGCTAACAATAATGGAGTATTCTGGAATGCCCTTAACTAATATTCTAGAGAGCCCTTATCTAACTCCTACTGAATATCTGTGAAAGAATCAGAAAAATACAGTCTGGAGAAGGCACCTTTTAAACCTGAGACTACTGGACTATTTATTATATTCGTTTTTGTAATTTTTTTTCACTGGCAGACTCGCTTGCTCAGAACAATCAGGCAATTTGGTCATAACAGCAGTCAACGACATTCCTGTTGATGTTCATACTCCACTACTAGCCTTTCTAAAAATGTGACATGAAATTCTGCAAATTTTTCTCAACTTCTCTCAGTTGATATCAGCAATTGTAGTTTGCAGTTTTAGGGTTAAGAAAATGTCTGGAAAACTAAAACCAGCAACACAAATGTTATTTTTGTACAATGGGAGCCACATATTCATGGTTTGTCATTCGTAAATTTACCGCTTCGCCAATTTATTTCTTTATGGAACCCATGTCCCTTTAATCGTAGAAATCCACTGCTCATTCACATCTTTTATTTTTATTTTTTGTTGTTGTTTACCTGATCTCCCACTTAGTCACGTTAAACCAGATTTTTTTTTCCTTAGTGGCAATTGTAATATGCAGATCACTCAATTGCAAACACCCCAATGTATTACATCCACTTGCGGGATCTGTCCAGCTGTGAGTATTGAATATTAGTGTTTAACATCACATGCTTTCAACAGCTATTACACAATGTGATGCGCTGATGTTTATGGGAAAACACGACCAATGGCCTCCAGATACAAACGAGTCACACAGATACAAATGCACATACACAATAGTTTATACTCTAAACAAAGAGGAGGAGCCGGCGCAATAAATCAGATGAAACTGAAAATAGAGACTTTTGTCTAGGCTGCAGTGTGCAACATTCACACACTCTTTTGCATCTCGGTCCTCATCTGTTCAGGTAAGCCAAGGTACAGACGAGATAGGTATAATGGGGGTCTGGGTCAAGTATATGGTGGAAATCCTGATTACATTTTTGTTGGAAGGTTTATTGTTAGCGCAATGTTTGGACTGAAAAAAAATCAATAGATGATGATCAACCTTTAAATGAGTATGAACAAAAACAAATGTTTTAAATTAAGAATCGGAGTTGGTGTTGATTACTTTCATGAGACTTGAAAGTCAGATATCTGTGTGGCCTTCGCCAATGTCATGCTAGCTGATAGTCACGGTGACCTCCGGACAGAGGTCATGATGGAAGATGACGAAGAAAACACGCAAAACAAGCGGTCTTTGTACTGTATTTGGATTCTACGACCATTCCTTGAAATCTTGGAGAAGATCAACAAGTAGTGCAGGTTGCAGAACAGAACAGAAAAAAAATGCTTTAGCTAACTCTACGATCCTACTTGCTTTTTATTTTTTTAAGTTTACTTTGCTTCTACTTCTTGGAAGAATGTACTTAAGGACGATATACGTAATTTGCAAGGTCAATCGAAGGTGAGCTTCAAAATAAAACATTTCTTTCACACTTCAAAAAGGTTCTAAATGTTTACTCTATAATAGGAATGGGAAATAACAGCCCAAAACTATTTGGGCTTTTTTTTCTATGATTTTTTTTTTTTTTTTTTTTTGTGGGTGTAAAAGGAAGACTCGTGATGATGTTCGGCCCTGTGTTTTGTGTTTCTTTTTAATTTGAGAGGTGGAATGAAAGTTGACTGGAAACTTTGCTGTTTGTTCAACAAACACATGAAATGCATCCCTGCTGAGGGGATTCTGACCTCTCACACGGCAAGGACATGCCTCCCGAGGAGAGGGAGAAGAGAGTGTGTGTGTTTGTGTGTGTGGGTGTGTGTGTGTGTGTGTGTGTGTGTGTGTGTGTGTGTGTGTGTGTGTGTGTGTGTGTGTCCGCGTTCGTGCATGCGCATGTATAAACCAGGGGCAAAGTCGTGAGAACAAAATTGTGTGTTCTACTCAGTTTCACAGTCATATTATCTTTCTATCTTTCATGTCTGTCTTAACAGCGTTGAATATGGGACATCTCACATTCGTGGCTGTGATAGCAGGTATAATGCAAAATACACCTAAAAGCATCTCTATGATCTACCATCTATTTAATTTTCTCTCACGGGATTAATAAAGCATATCTTTCTCGCTATTACAAGAAATATTTTTTTAATAATGATAATAATTCCGAAAGCTGCAGAGCCTCGTTAGCTGCAGGCTAGCAAAGACATTCCCCAATAAGCATTTCCTCTGTTTTCTCCTCTTCTAGTGCTCTTCACTCTCTTCACTGAAACTGAAGCAAGTAAGGCAAAAACTCCCTGTCTGTCTCGATTCGTTTCTCAGGCTGCTTCTGTGGACAAACTGGTTTGTGGAGCAACTTAACATTGCCGTAAACCTGAAATACGCTCAAGTTGACCCATTTTGAAGTTTTTAAATCTTCAGATTTTTTTTTTTTTTGGAAACATGTTTCATGTTCCAAAGAAACAAACATAACAGGAAGGTTAAAAGCCAATTTTTGTGGGTCAATGACAATGAGATGAAAAGTGAATTACTTATTTATTTGATTGTTTCTTTTCTTTGGCTAACACTCTTTTCGAGAGAGCCTTTGTGGGGAAAAACGTTTCATACCATATCATTTTGTAAGTGACTGTTTTCTTTCTCTCCTGTTCTTCTGTTTGCTCTCTAGGTGCATTTGTTTATAGTAAGTATACATCCTCAATTCCATCTACTGAAAGGCCTCACGTGTATAAAGTATTATTTCTATTGATTATGTTTATTCTGGGAAAAAATGTCTATGGTGTTGTACATATCATCAGTAAAAGTAGTTTATTGAACTACATGTGATGAAGTACCATTGAGTAAACAACATGTTTTTGCTTTGTAAAATGCATAAAAATGGAACTGATATGAATCCTTTAAACCTGGAAAATTGTTCTTTTTTGACAGACTATGAAAGGCTTCGAATCGCAGGTCTGATCTGTTCAGGCCTTTTATTCTTCGGAGGAGTTGGCGTTTTGCTATGTAAGTGCCACACGGTCAAACTATCATTTCACCACTGTAATATGTTGAAAGGATTAAGCGTTCTTTAACTGAATGACCAAATACTACCGAATAACAAAGTTGCATTCTTGACACGTGTCTATATTTTAATATCACCTGAATCTATTTCATTCTGGCATGTTGACAAAATCTCCAAAGCATCGATTTGAAACTTTTGGTGATGCTATCATCTTTAATTGTATTATTTTGTTTAAAGTTATGAGCTTTTATAAAGAGAATTGCATTTGGGTGAAAGCTTCACTCTGCAGATGTTTGTCTCAGTATTCACATAATAATCTGTGGTTTTCCTTCACAGACAACAAGTGCTCCAGGCGCTCCAAGTAAGATGACTCTTTCATTTTTACCCCCCACGAGTCAGTGAATGTGCAAACACCCACCACCCCCGCCCCGCCCCAAGCCACTTGTCTGTTTTCTTCCTGAACCAACATGCTAGCTGCTGCTCAACCTCCTTTTTGACCTCCCGTTGCAGGAAAGTGGAAGATGACAGCAGTGAAATCTGATATGGAACCAGACAAACCGGTTTCCACGTGGGAGAAAGAAGAACAAACAGGAGAGGGGTGGAGATTGGAGGAAACTATTTTAGGTTAATCTGCACATTTCTGGGTGAAAAAAAAAATATATATTTGGTCAAGAAGTCTTACCTTGTATTGTTTGTCTAAGGTGCTTACAGAAGATCAGAGTACTGCAAAATGCAATAATGACAGTTGCTCACATGTACAGTACACCATATTGCATGAATTGAATTTTTTTTAAGAGCCTGTTCGCTGTGGTCAAGCATTTCAAGAAGAGAAAGGATGTATCCAGTGAAATTAAATAAAATGTGCTTTTAAAATTTGATCTGACAGACACTTCTTAATTTAGATACGTGTTGCATTAGCATACGGCATACAACATGAAATCTTTGTCACTAATGTGGATGGATATACGTATTATATCCCATAGTGGAGTGAATCAACTCGGGTAGCGAATTTGACATGTTCGCTCATGTTAAGCAAACGTTCAAGCGACACTCCCCCTCCGGACTCGTAACCCTGAGCCAGGATCAGTCTGGTTCGCCAGTACGTACTCTCTTGCTTGCTTGTTGCAACACATGAAACCGAGCTGGGATCAGGGACGAGTCCACCGTTTGACGCTCTTTAACTTCCCTTTTCCGAACGCCTGCCAACCTGTGGAGCTTTTCAGTCGAGAAGGGTGTTGACCCACCGAGCGGACAAGAATCCACAGCACTTTCGTCGCATGATCTCCGATAGCCTTCGTCACTCAAACCTCTTCGTTTTTTGAGGGGGAGTCCAGCGTGTCGAGGGTAAGTTAAAAACACACGAGTTTGTGTTTTAAGCGAGCTTCTCTCCTCCTTGACCGGACTTCAGGAAATGAGCTGATCAATCTCCATCTTGGGAGCATCTTTAAAACTCAGATGGTAGCAAACTTGTTTGGCAGTTTAACTATTTCATGATGCTAAACGCTCACTAAACTGGTCAGTAACGTTTTACATTTTCAACAATTTCTGAAAAAAAAGAGAAAAAAAACCGTCTCACATAATGCAACCAATACATAGCAAGGTAATGTAACGTCGACCGAGTTCACATTGAGTTAACAAATGAGTGACTTTGTCAGAGCCTTTATTAGCATTGGATGTATTATTTTTTTGTGACTCGATAAACTTAGTGTGCACGTTAGCTGTCACGTTTATTTTGTGTGCGCGTGCGCGTGTGCGTGTGTGTGTGTGTGTGTGTGTGTGTGTGTGTGTGTGTGTGTGTGTGTGTGTGTGTGCGTGCGTGCGTGCGTGCTTGCGGCGTGCGCGCGCCAGTTCGTGCGCGTGTGTGAAAACGCCAGCTGATAAAAGCCCTGCTGATAACATTTTGCTACTATGTGGCATATAAGGACTTAGATAAAAAGATGAAAATATGTACCCTTTCAACTCAACTCAACTGTATTTATAGAGGACTTTCAAACAACCACCCCTGTATATAAAGTGCTATACATTGGGAAAAAAAAATCTGACAGGTTACATGTTCTCCCCTTCCTTGCCTGGGTTTTCTCCTGGTACTCCGTCCCCCTACAACATTATAAGCATGTTAGGTTAATTAAACACTTTCAATTGACCATAGTTGTGTTTTTTTTTTTCTTCTTTGCATATGTGTACCTTGTGATTGACTGGCGGCTAGTTGAGGGTGCACCCTGCCTCTTGCCCAAAGTCAGCTGAAATTAGCTCCAGGTCAGCTGTGACTCTGCAGGCGGTAGAAAATGGATGGACTCATAGACGAATGCTTACAGTAGCTGTCATTATTGACACGGTAAAAAAAAAAAAAATTACTCAGACATTGTTTTAATCCAGCAGAACAGATCTTGTGGTAATCTTTTCACACCTCACTCACGTACAAATTCAAGAAGAAACAGCAAAACATCTGATTCTCACACATTTGAAAGTGGAGAATCGTTTGTGAGTTACTCAAATTTCAGCGCACCACATCTCCTTTCAAGTGACCACAGAAGAGGGAGATTGAGAGGGGAGAAAGGAGTGACAGGCAGCTTTATCTTTCCTTTCCCAAATGAGACAGACTCTCCCTTCTTCTGTCCTTGCATGACTTCAGACAGACAGAAAGAAAAGTATTGGCTCGGAAAGAGCGGTCAAGAGAGGACATCCTCGCGGGGAGGTGCATTTGCTTCGAATCACTGCTCCCGCCCAACATCCCCTATTTTACTTGGCATAAATGTTACATACCAGAATACCTTGATTCGTTTTGAGGGAAGTGTCCAAGACCTTGACCATAAATGCATTAATCCATGCGCTTTTGTAAAATCTCCACCAACAATGAAATCCTCACATCAACACCATAATCACCATAACAGGGTAGCTGTCTAAGCATTTGTACGGTTCAGATAAAGAACTCGACTGAAAAGTCCTGTTTTATTTGGTTTGTTTTAACTGCTATTCAAAGATAATTCAATTGATTTTCAGGTCGGTATCTAGAAGATCACAGTGGCTACATTTAGGGTGACATTCACTGGTTGATTTTGCATTTGTACTATTTACTCGAGGAATGTTTTTCCTCAGAACTTTCTGGAAACACATTTTATGGAGGGAAGTCGTGATGGCTGTTGTAGTACAGTAATGAGCATCAGGTCTCAGTGCACTACTGAGTGTGACTCACTGCCTCAGTATGCTCCACTCCCTTTTTCCGTCTTTCCGATGCCACCGTCCCTCCTTCCTTTCCCAACCGGTCCCTCCCTTTTCTCCCTGCCTCACTCAATAATGCCCTCAGGATTGCATGTTTCGCTTATTTAATTGCTCTTTGCTATTTCACTGGATACATGATGTGTTCTAGTTTAAGTCCATCTGTGTCTCGCAGGCTTGTGTCAAAAGATGGAGTCTAGTGCTGCTAATTTCGGAGTAAAACAAGCCACAGAACAACAGCTGTCTTTGTAGTGCACCACAGGAAAACACACACACACAAACACTCTCACGTTCCCATCCAATATTCAAGTGGGTGGGCGTAATGATGAAAAATAGAAACAACAATGTGACTAGGACATTGTGCACAACACATTCCACAAATCACCACATCCTGCCCACATAAATTACAGGAATCATAAACATTTCAAACAGATGTGTCAGTCATCTGATGTGAAATGTATTTCTAATAGTATACTTATTGTGTGTTTGAATGTATCTTAATGTACTGCACGTGTGTGATATGTATTTAGATTGGAGTGAATACTTGTCCCATGTTGAACTGAAGGCCTTTTCGCAAGATTTATGGATACTAACTGACTTACAGCAATTTTTTTGTACACTTAACAATAGTGCTGTGCAATATGGATAAAAATGAGATCCGGATTTCGGTAATTTTATACCTCAATAAGAACTCAGAACATGTTTGCTGAAAACTAGATGAAATTGATGGTGTTTTTCTCTTAGCTTTTTTTCCTTTTTTTGTATGAAACATTTTATACCAAGTGATAAATTTTATCTATTATTAGAGCTGTCAAACGATTAAAATATTAACTCAAATTCACAAAAAATGAATCGTGATTACTCACGCATTTTTTATCATTTCTGAATTTACTTTTATATTTTTTTTGGTCCTATTTTTCCATCAACATGGAATCATGAATCAGTTTTCTATGTGCAAAATGCAAATATTTACCGAAATAACAATTTCGATTTTCAATTTTACATTTTTCACTTGGAGCAGTTATTCACACATAATCTCTCACACAATATTACTGTCCATCAACAACAGTGAAAAAAATATTTTGTCACACAACAGCTGCTTTAACAGCTCTTTTTATGGAATCAAAACAGAGCAATATAACATTATAAAGTGCACATCTAAGGTAAACTAGTACTCAGCCTATAGTGGATTTAAGCCATGGTTGCAAACTTCGTTTTTCTCAAGTTTGCTTTGAACACAGCAGTCAGGCTATGTTGATTCTGTTGGTCCTTCTTGCACGGAAGTCTCTCTACGGTTTTGTGTAGACATCATTTCGGATGACTACACTTGGTACGATGACAACACTGGAGACGTTTTATTTTCAGTGTGTTCGCTAGGTCGCGACCACTGCACCGCTGAACTCTCGTCAGACGAACACAAAGAAGCTCCACCCGCTTTATTGATATGGCCACGGAACACTGTATGTGTGTGTGTGTGTGTGTGTGTGTGTGTGTGTGTGTGTGTGTGTGTGTGTGTGTGTGTGTGTGTGTGTGTGTGTGTGCGTGTGTGTGTGTAAAATGAAGGTTCCTCTTCACTGCAGGCCACACGGCCCCAAGAGGATGTTTGGATGGCACTCCTGGCAGACACATGGTGTTCTCAGTTGTCAAGGTTGATAAGATATGGGATGAAAGTGATTCCCTCGCCTCTCTTCGGTGACTGGTCACAGCACCGGGGGATATATATGTGTGTGTGTATATGTATGTATATATATATATATGTGTATATGTGTGTGTGTATATATATACACACAGTCATACCTCGGTTTTCAACCATAATCCGTTCTAGAAGGCTGTTCGAAAAGCGATTTGTTCAAAATCCGAAACTATTTTATAAGCCCATGATTAGGGGCTAATACACTATACAGAAATAACAAAAAAAAAACAGTCAGATTTGTGTAAATCACAGCAAACACATTTGCTCACAATGAATGTTAAACGAGGAAGCGTCACTTCCACTTCCTTGTGTAAGGAAGCCGAGAGGAGTCGAATGGCGTATTCGAGTTTGCTCAGTTTGGTCGAAAACCGGTTTTCGGTCATAATCCGAGGCGTGAAAATCTCGAATTTTCTGGTCGAAATCCGATTTGGTTGATAACAGAGGCGTTCAAATACCGAGGTTTGACTGTGTGTGTGTGTGTGTGTGTGTGTGTGTGTGTGTGTGTGTGTGTGTGTGTGTGTGTGTGTGTGTGTGTGTGTGTGTAATATATTAAAACACAAGTGTCCAGTGGAAAACTTCCATTCAAAAAATCTGTCGGGAGCCCTAGTCAAAAAAATGTACATTGTGTACTTTGTATATTGCAATATAGTGATGGATGTTGTTCATTGTTCATACAATGTTAGTGTAGCATCCAAGGTGTAATGCATTTGAAGTCACTCTTGTCAAAACACTGCACATTCCTATTGTATATGTGATAAATGCCAGCTCGTGCTGTGCAAGAGACTTTTAACTCCTTGAGAGTCTGAAGAGTAGCATCAGTCGATGGGTTCGCAGCCCAGGTTTTTTGCCTGATAGGTAGCGCACTCGACTCCCAACCCTGAGAAAGGTGGTCGGGTGCATTTGAGCCTCAGCCATTATCCGGATTCGGAGTGATGTTTTAGGGCATTGGTGTAACTGAGAACCAGCTTGCACTGTTTCAAAGTATGTGAGTCAATCGTCACTCCTCAACAGCCTTAAGAGTAGCCACCATCACCCATGCACACATCCCAGACTGTAATGATGGCAACTTACAAGTGACCAGCAGAGAGTAACATAGCAATCACCACTTAGGCACGTTATCTCTGCACCCCACTTTCCAGGCATGACCACTGAACCCACGCTGAAACCATCACCACCTTCATCAAAACCTACAATGTCTTTATGTTTGCAGTCATGGGAGTCGACTACAGATGGACACATCATCATTTGTGTTAGCTGGCACATTTCAGTTCAGCATGATACAGAATACTTGAAATGGTCAACTCTAATCTGTTTTTTTGTTTTGTTTCCACTGTAGGGTAGATTCACTAGCTACTCCAACAGACTAATTTCAGCCTGACTGTGTAACTTCCCATTCAATTCTCTCAAGAACAGTAAACAGACAGCAATAGTTGTC